AAGACTTCTTCTAACCAAAAAATTTGCAGTTTATTTATTTGAATTCGCCGTGTTGGAGCCTCTGTCTCCTGGGCTCAGGTGATCCTCCCAACTCAGCCCCCCAAGTAGCTGGGACTACAAGCATGCACCACCATGTCTGGCTTTTTGTAGAGACAGGGTTTCACATATTGCAGGCTAGTCTCAAACTCCTGGGCTCAACATTCTATCCACCTTGGCCTCCCAGAGTGCTAGGATTACAGGTATGAGCTGTCACGCCCGGAAGAGCTTATTCTAAAATTGAACTTCTTGCCCCTCTAAGTACTATCATGCCATGGGTGGAGAAATTTAGGAAGGTTCTGGAAATCCTTCCCTAAAGAATTTCAAATGTGTAAGAACATTTTAAAAGTGTTAAGGTAATTTAAGTGAGTTCTGAGTAATTGGTACACAAGAAGCTGTTATTATGCTCGTCTTGATTCAAACATTAAGCCAAGAGGCTTACAAGTAAACTCAGAACAGTGAGATAAATGATAGGCCAAAAATTCCAGGAACTGCTGAGTCAGGAGAGCATTTTTCAAGACATCTGGCCCCAAGAAAATCTACTGAAAGCATAAGGAGAACTGGCTGACAGTTTCTGAACCGCTGGTGATTATATCTGAAAGCTTAGGGGAAGGCTCAAAGCAAGAAAAACTTGGGAAGATGGGGGTGACCATTGTCCTCCTGGACTGCAAGCTGCATCTCAACAGAACTTGGGATACTGCTTGGACCCTAGAAAAGGCAGACTGTATGAGAGCATAGCATGCTTCAGGCCAAGACTGGAATGCCAGAGCACGGGAGACTCCAAACCTGGCCAGCCAGGTAGGAGGGCAACTGAGAAGCAGTGGAACGAGAGGCATAGGATTCAGGGCCCCGGTGCCCTTAAGGTGTGTGTGGACTCTCTCTTCTCGGTATATCTGCTACTAAACAGGACTGGGGTTATGCGTCCCTCTCTAGTGTGATGAAAAGTGACTGGGGCTGCACAGCCACTCCTGATGACCTGCCCGGAACAAGTCACTTCACTGTTGAGCCCCATGCTGCTTCTCCTAATGCTTAGTTCTCAGGACAGTACTGGAATTAAATGATAATGAAGACCTAGCATGGAGCCTGGCCAATCACTAGATTTCACATGTGAAGAGTTGTTCTGTCCTGCATCCCCCTTTCTAACATGAGACTAAGAATTCTTCCCCCATCCTATTTCTCCGTCAATATAAGCAACATAAGGATTTTGAGTATCAAGTTTCTGAGGCCTGGACACAGAAACATTCTATTATTACTATTGTCATTATTTTCCCTCCAGCAGTCCTGTCTCCTTCCCTCCCAATCTGTGGCACCCCTTCTATTCCACACTAACCTTGTCCTGGGCCCCTGTAGCCTGTCATTTAGAGCTGCCCATTGTCCATCAAGTCCAATCTCTTTTCTTCCCACACTGCAGACTCACACCATCTTCTCACTGCTGGGAGTGGACCATGCTTATGTCACCAGTATTGGCAGACTCATTGGAATCGTTACTCTAAAGGAGGTGAGGTGATGGTGGCCTCCAAAACTGCTCCACTTCCAAAAAGGCATGGAAGCTTATGTCCAGCTCACCTGGGGAGGAAGGTAGGGAGGAGTCTGAGCCAGGAGCTCTGGGTCCAGACATCTGTCCCTCTCACCTTTCCAGCTCCGGAAGGCTATCGAGGGCTCTGTCACAGCACAGGGTGTGAAAGTTCGGCCGCCCCTCGCCAGCTTCCGAGACAGTGCCACCAGCAGCAGTGACACGGAGACCACTGAGGTGCATGCACTCTGGGGGCCCCACTCCCGTCATGGCCTCCCCCGGGAGGGCAGCCCTTCCGACAGCGATGACAAATGCCAATGAGCCCCTCGTGGGTGGCCTAGGATGGTGCTAGCCATGCCTGTCATCCCAGAATGTGCATCTCTCATTCCTTCTGCCTTGGGAAGGCAGGAGGCAGCTACAGCCGGAGGCTGAACCCCAGCCCCCTCCAGACCTGGGGTGCCAGCTTCTCCCAGTTTATCCTACCTGGAATCTGACCCACTGCCCACCTACAGCAACTTTTCCAGGGGCAGGAAGATCAGCCCTGCCCTGGCAGGGTCACTTGACCCCTGCTCCCCCTTTGAGGGGAAAGGGGTAGAACTAAGATGGGTTTATAACTGGAACCTCCAATGACCAGATGTATATAGAGATTTACAAAGATTTTTATATTAATTTAATAAAACAAATTCTTAAATAGAACAAAATAAACACCTAATGAGCCACTTATATATAGAATGCTTGTGCCCGTTGGCTCTCGTTCTTACCTTGGGCCCTCTTACCTGCCAAAGCCTACAAGGCCCTTAATTCTAAAGCCACCCACCCTTCCCACAACCACAAAAACCTAGAGTCCAGTGACCTTGGAATGCAGGATCTGCCAGAGGCCTCCACTGCGTGGTCATTAACACCCTGGCTGGGGCGGGGCCCCTGTACTGTAGCCTTGGCCTTTCATTCAGACAGAAAGGCTCTACCTTATTTCCTCCCCAAGGAGAGACACTCCCTCATGACTGTCACTCACTGGCACGATTCCTGCCCCTCAGCAGGCATCAGCTGACAACTCCTGGCCACCCCTGTGGCCCTCTTGTGGCCCTCTCTAGAAGAACATGAAGTCCCAGCTCTGTGGCAACCAGAGCCATCCTTTCTTCCACCTCCGGTTCAGAGAGCTCTGCGTGAATGGGCAGCCCGGCTGGCTGTGAGGCGCCAGGACACTGCCCACACATCCTAGGAGGGGTTGGGAAAGGGCCTAGGCCCCATTAGGGGGCCAGGAAAAGGGTGGAGGGTACATGCTTTCATCATTCCAAAGCCTCTCAGAGAAGAGAAGCTCCGACTGAAAAAACAGACCAAAAACCTTCTGTCTTTAGGAAAAAAGAGGAAGATTTAGAGACTATGGAGAGGTGAATGAAGCACAGCACAAGCCCAGCTGGGCAGGGGGCCTTGGGGGACGGCTCAACCCATAGGCTCCGGGAGGGCAAGAGCCAGCCCCTCCAGGTGGGAGTGATTCTATCAAGCACTGCACGTGGACTCGGAAGTGAGAAGAAAAGCAGAGAAGAGAGAGGCATGGGGAGGGTAGGGGGTGGCCGGGCCCCCTCCCACCCCACCCCCCCACAGCCCAGTCACAACCCCCTTAGTGGTTCACATCATCCGAGGAGGAAATGTGTGTGTGGCATTTTGATTTAAGAACATGAACATCACTGTCTGCCACAGCTGTAGCCATGCCCCAGAGGCCCCGGGCAACCCCCGGCAAGCCCCGGGAGTGGGGGCAGGACATGCGCCCCCAGCCCAGCCCCTGCCTCCTCTCCAAACACTTTCATGCAAAACACACAATGGAGAAGCGAGCGCTCCCAGGAGCCCTCTAGGCTGTGGAGCTCTGCTGGGAGCCTTGAGCCCACACTTGGGCACAGAGACTCTGCCCCTAGCAGCAGCCAGGGGATGCATGCCATCACCAGGCATGATGTGTGTCACTGTTCCTCTGGCTCATCCTCATCTAAGGACACCACCCCAGAAGAGGCCACGTCAGAGGCTTGTCGCTGCCGTTCCCAGCTGCCTACTAGTGGTGGGCAGAGCGGCTGGCAGTCCTTGCAGGGGGCTGGCTCCTCCTCAGCGGGGGAAAGGCAGGACTCCGTGAGGGGCGAGTTGTAGAGCGAGTCCTGGGTCTCCAGTGGGCCCAGGCTGCGGAAGGCACTTTCCCGGCTGGGGGGCAGTTTGGCGAGAAGCAGCTCATCACCCAGCAGCTGGGAGGCCAGCCGGGCTGGGGAGCCCAACAACCCGTCCTCCAGGCTGCACAGACTAGAGCACAGGGTGTCTGGGGACACGGTCTGCGAGCAGTCGCTCTCAGGCTCCACGGAGCCCTGGCGCACAGGCCGGGAGAACCGGTGGCCGGTGAACAGGTCCTGGAGGTGGGGCCCCAGGGGCAGCTGCCCAGCCATGTCTGTGAGGGGAAGAGAAAAGAAGATAGTCCTGCTGGCTTCATTTCAGTTGGCCAACCTGGAAGCCATATTCGCCCCACTCCACCCCTGGCATAGCTCTGGGGGTGGTAGGTAGGTGCTGGGTAACCTTGAACCAGTCACAACTTTTTGAGACCTCAGTTTCCTTAATGGTGAGATGGAGATTCTAACAATACAAGAACAAGAGTCTGGCACACAGTCGGGTGTGGTGGCCCACGCCTGCAATCCCAGTACTTTGGGAGGCTGAGGCAGGCGTATCACCTGAGGTAAGGATCTCAGGGATCCATGACCAACATGGAGAAACCCCATCTCTACTAAAAATACAAAATCAGCTGGGCGTGGTGGCACATCCCTATAATCCCAGCTACTAGGGAGGCTGAGGCAGGAGAATTGCTTGAACCTGGGAGGCGGAGGTTGCGGTGAACTGACATTGTGCCATTGCTCTCCAGCCTGGGCAACAAGAGTGAAACTCCATCTCAAAAAAAAGAAAAAGTGTCTGGCACACAGTAAACAAGCAGTAAATGCAGGGTCACCACATATGGCCATACAGGTTGCTCATCACACAACAGGGCCTGTCCAAGGCAGTGAGAGATAGCAAAATCTAACGCATACTCTGCTCACCAAGCAGCATGCCCTGGCCTGCCAGAGAAAGGGGTGCCTTTTTCTAATTTGCACAAAGATTCCACATGGGCTAGTAGCAGCCTTGGATAAATGTTAGTTATTATCATTACTCCAGGGGTCAAAGTAGGCCTGGAACTCAATCAAACAAAAATGCCTGTGGTTTAAGGTTCCATCTTGGCTTCAGACATCCAAATCAACCCCCCAGACCACAGCAGCAGTTTCCAACCTGCTCTCATGTATTGCCTGCCTTGGAGAACTTATTAATTCACTGGAGGGGTAGGGGATGGTAGAGGTAATCTTCAAAGGCAAAGAGGTTGTGGGGAATGGTGGCCTGTGAGACTTGAGCCCAGAAGCTACAGAGAAAGTCAGCCATGTGGTCTAGGGAATGAAAGATGAGAGGGCCGAACACAGCTGCAGAGCCCTGCAGGGTCCCCGCTGCAAGCACTGGCCCGGAGAAAGGCCCACAGGCTGGAATGCAAGGATGCTGAATTGGAGCCAGCACGGCCCCGTGGGTGTTCCAGGCCCAGCATGCCTTCCTGTTGACCTGGGATGCAGCCCTGCAAGGTGCTGGGCTGTGCACTGCAACTCATCTGCCCTGCCACAGCCAGCCAGAAGCCTGCCTTGGAGATGAAGAGGCAAAGGCATTGCAGACCCTCCCAGAGACGTGGCTGCACAGAAGGTGTCCTTGAGGTCTTTTGGCTTTTTTTTTTTTTTTTTTTTTTGAGGACTGCAAGGCACAAATGTGCAGACAGGCAGAGAGGCCTCAGCACCTGTGGGAAAGGAACGACTCCATTTCTGTCTGCTCATTTCCCACCCGTGAGTGTGAACAGCCTTCCTGTCCCTGGAGTGTCCAGGCCTGCCTGGACTGAGTCTGCCCCTCTCCCCTGCCCTTCCAAAGGCTGAGTGTTCTGGGTGTGGCTCTGAATGAATCCCAAGGTCTATCAGCCGGATCCACCACAGCAATAGCCCAGGATGTCCCTCACCTGTGTCCATTCCCCCAGCAAAGTCCTCATCATAGGAGTCATCAGTGGAGTCCTCGCCATCCACAGAAGACCACGCTCGGAGTTTGGCTTCCGCGATGGCAAACTGCTCAGCCACTCCTGTCGCAGGGACAGAACGCATAAGCAGAGAAGGTGAGCTAAGTCTAGGGCTCAGCTTGGAGACAGGAGAGAGGAGAAACAGGGTATGGAAAGACTCCAACCCCCACGTCAGACCTGAGGAGACAAGAAAGCAGCCCTGGCCGGGTGCGGTGGCTCACACCTGTAATCCCAGCACTTTGGGAGGCTGAGGCAGGTGGATCACTAGGTCAGGAGTTCAAGACCAGCCTGGCCAAGACGGTGAAACCCCATCTCTACTAAAGCTACAAAAATTAGCCAGGCACGGTGGCAGGTACCTGTAATCCCAGCCACTCGGGAGGCTGAGGCAGGAGAATCTCTTGAACTGGAGTGGCAGAGGTTGCAGTGAGCTGAGATTGCGTCACTGCACTCCAGCCTGGGTGACAGAGTGAGACTCCGTCTCAAAAAAAAAAAAAGCAGCCCTGTGCCAAGAGTGTAACTTATTCCCTTTCTGCCATCCACCTGCTGCAAAGCGAGCCTCTTGTTCGCCCTCGCTGAGGTCCGAATAGGAGGAAAAGGCTGATTCCAGGGCAGCAGGCGAGTCACTCGGCTTGCTCCAGCCCTTCCACTCAATGAGGTGAGCCACTCGGCCCTGGGCCATGGCAGTAGGCTTGGTCACGTGGTCCTTCACCACCTGGGAAATACCTGGAGACAGGGGAGGGTGGAGAAGCCTGGTAAGGGACCAGGCCAGGGAGCACAGGGGCAGGGAGGTGGAAGGGTGGCAGTAGTTAGGATCTATGTGAACCTTTGGGTGGGAGAAGGGGCTGAGATTCACCTGAGCGAGAGAAGAAAGGGGAGACCCCAGCATGTGCTCACAGGAAACAGTTCCAAAGGGACTGTGCAAAATGGAGGAGAAAGGACAAAGTGGCCAGAAACACGGGAGGGGCTGCATACCATGCAGGGAGGACCTGGCCAGCGCAGCGATCTCCTGGATAGTTAGGGCTCTCCGGGACTTGGGCAGCATCGCGACTGTGTCTCCAACATTCACCTTGGATAACACCATTAGAAGGTCAGTGCCCCTCTGACAGTAATGACCTTCCCCCTAACATGCCCATACCCCAGTGAAGGCATGAGGAGACAAGAGCTAGGAAGGAACAGCACATATGTCCCAGTGGCTACAGGGAAATGTAAGATGATAAGAAGCTAGGACAGGTGAGTTATGTCCTCGCAGAAAGCAACGGAGATTCAGACAGGCCCCAAGAAGCAAAACTTCAGCTAATCCTCCACTTTCCCAGCACCCAGAGGAGATGGAGGCAGGGCAGGAAATGAAAAACCACGAGTGGGACCTCTGAGGAGAGGGAAGAGGAGGAAGGGAGAAGAGTGTGGTATCCAGGACTTCTTTTTTTTTTTTTATTTTGAGATGGAGTCCTGCTCTGTCGCCCAGGCTAGAGCGCAGTGGCGTGATCTCGGCTTACTGCAGACTCTACCTCCCAGGTTCAAGCGATTCTCCTGCCTCAGCCTCCCAAGTAGCTGGGATTACAGGCGCCCACCACCGCACCTGGCTAATTTTTGTATTTTTTAGTAGAGATGGGATTTAACCATCTTGGCC